GTGATAGGCCGGACGTCCTTAAGCCCATGATTACGCAACCTTGTCGTTGCCATCCGGATAAACAACAACTCATATGAGGCCGGCCGGTCATACCGCCAACTAACCAGATTGCCTATATGTGTCGGCCGGTCGTAATACCAAACTTCGGGAGACTGGCCGACCACGTTGCTAATTAACCAGGTTTAAGGTAAGTAGTGGTTAAAAGCTATTGGGCTGAATTTGGGCCGTGGTTGACTTTTCACTAATCCCAAGCCCATAGCGAAAACTATAAATACAGATCAAGTGTGAGTGATAGATAGGTTGCATTTACTGCACATTTATTACTGTTATATCGAAAAACGTCATTGCTCTCAAACTGACTTTGGCATCGGAGAATCTTTCGCAGGTCTCCCACTCGCACGCAGAGAAGGGAATCGAGAAGTAAGGAGCGAGAACCGAAAGTTCGAGACACGAGGAGAGGTGGACGTGGAGGCATTGGACGACTCAGTCCCTACAACCGAAACACAAAAATAATATTTTTGTTAGAAAATAATGACAATATTTTTTTTTTCATAGTTAATTGTTACAGGGTTAAAAATATGTATTTTATAATAAATGATTTGCAGGTTACTAACAAAAGATAACTTACAAATTTTACACAATAATGTGTCAAAAATAAACTAATAAGATAAGGTGGTTGAATTAAACTATTTTGGAATTTAATAAAGTAGCATTCACCTCAACATAAAACAAATCTAACACGGAACAACCAAATGTAGGAGAATCCGAAGTTTTTACATGAGAAAAAAAATATATACACAATTAATAATGAGCTTTTCATAGAAAAGTACATGCACAACTTGTGAGATTGAGACTTGGCCACATCTTTGATTATGGAGGCACAAACCAAATTAAACTTCTTCCAGATTTGGAAAATTATAATGCATTTTTTGCCTTTTGATGCAGAATTCCGGTAAATGTAAGGAAACTGAGGGTCCAAAGCAGGATCTAAGAAGCCGAGGGCTATGCTTTGTGGCTGTTTCAAGCACATTCCCAGTAACTCATGAAAGCATAGTGGATTTTTGGACACCAACATTCGGAGGAGCTTCCAGATAGCAGTAATTATAAAAGTTAGAAGCACATGGAAACTAAAGAATTTAAATAATTATAGTAATATAGATGGATGGAGAGTTGGGACACGAAACCAATAATATCCAGGAGTAGAGATATAAAAGTTAGAAGGACATGGACCAACTACATTCAGAATTATGTAGTGTTTGGGAAATATTGGAAACATTGTGATGAATAGAGCTGGCACTAGCTACCTACCTTTAACTCATAAGAGAAAAAGGAATTCAATTGAGATTGGAGTATAGAACACAAGAGAATCATTTGATTGGAAACCTCACTTTTTATTTGTTTATACGGAATGGTTCCATTGGAAGTATGTGTAGAAAGAGGAGGAAATTCATAAATATTTGTATCCTCTTGGGACTTCTGGATTAGGAAAAATCAACACCACCCCCAAAATTTAAAAATAAACGTACACATAAATCAATATGTACATACTATTGATGAAACGCTGATTAGTGTCTATAAGAGTCTATTAGCTTCAAACTAATATTAGATTTCAACTATGTAATTTCCTCTTCTTCAAAGCTTCCATGGCTGAATTAGTGCTCTGCGTTTCAGCTCTTTTCTTCTTTATCTTCGTAAGCCTCATAGTAAGAAAAATAAAAAACACAAATAAGAAAACTGAGGAACCATCTTGTAAGATGACCTATGGACCTAGAAAGCTAATATAAAAAAGATGACAATATTACAATTAAACATAAGAAATAATACTTTTGTTAGAAAATAATGACAACAATTTTTTTTCATAGTTAATTGTTACAGGATTAAACATATATATTTTGTAATAAATGTTTTGCAGATTACTAACCTATGATAACTTACAAATTTTACAGTATAATGTGTCAAAATTAAGATAACAGGATAAGGTGGTTCAATTGAACTGTTTTGGAATTTAATCCGAAGTTTTTATAGGAGAACAGAAATATATACACAATTAATAATAAGCTATAATAGAAAAATACTGATCACATGCACAACCTGTTGTGAGATTGAGACTTTAGCACAAACAAAATTAAGAGATTTGGCCACATGTTTGATTATGGAGGTACCAACCAAATAAATAAAAAAAACCGATTGTATCATAAAGGTGGTTGAAATATAATTAATGTTTAAAAAATTTTCACATATTTAGAGACTTATGTTTTCTGTTTTGTATTTGGCATCATATCCAATATTTTTCTTTTTCTATTCTCTTTTCACAGTGAATCATTACTCTCAATATCCAATATTTTTCTTTTTCTATTCTCTTTTCATAGTGAATCATTACTCTCAATATGTTATGATAACTTTTAACTAGATTTGGATATGAAATTTTAATATGGTAATTTATTTTTACAATTTGAAATATCTTATAATAAAATGTTCTGTTTAGATAAATAATTAAAAGATTTTAAATTTTAGAATATTATGAACCTCATTAATTTAGTTAAAATTTCGAAATTTCAAAATTTGTCTAACGGGTTAAAAAGAAAAAAAATGTACGGAAAAAAATGTATAACTGAAACATTTTAGTAAAAGATAGTGACGTAGTAAAGTACCAAAGTGATAACATTTTTAAACCGATAGTTGTTATGTACATTAATTGAGAAAAATACCAATAAATTAGAATGAATTAATTATAGAGTTTGTTTACCCCTCTATTAAGTTTTCATTATTTATAGTAGTTTGAGATACATGAAATAAAAGAAGAGAACTTGATAAGTGTCTACTAACCATTAAAATTCTGGAGAGATTTCAACTTTAATCTGAGAAATTTCAAATACAAAAAAATGATACTGAAACTCACGAGCTTTCTTCATTGTTTTAATCATGTATTTGTTGTCATTGGGCAATTAAAAGAAGTAATCTATGAGCTGAAGAAAATGACATCCTTGCACCGTTAAACTCATTCAGCAACTATTTGTGGAATGCTGACTAATGTCTGCATAAACAAATATAAACAGACAGATACTAGTAGGTTCAGACCAACAATAGAAATCTGCATTTTTTAACATGACTCAACTTCTCCTTTCCTTTTTCTTTTCTTGTAAAAATATCTCTTAGATTTAAGAATACTCTAATATTGTGTTTGGATAAGAATTTCTCAATTTCAAAACATTCAATTTTATTAAATTTAAATTAATTTCATTTAAATTTTTTTATTTTTCAAATATTTTGTTTGCATAAGAAAATTCAAATTTAATGAGTTTTAATTTTTTTGTTTGGTTAAATATTTCAATTACCATCAAATTAAAAGAATTATTAATATATCAAATAATTGTTGAAAGTTTAAAAAAAAAATCAATATTTGATAATATTTTGTAGCTGATTTTAATTGATTTTATTTTTATATACAAGTGATTTTAAATTTTTAAGTAGTTGAATTTGACTATTAAATTTTAAAAGTCTAATTTATTTTCAACTAGGATTTAAAATATGTTATTTAAATAAATAATTTAAAATTCGTAAAGCTTTAAATTTTATGAAAGAATAATACCAAACTCCATACCAAGATTAAAATCGATTTTGATTAATCAAAAGGAATTAAATTTAATGAAAGAATCGACAAGAATAGAGAGGATAGAGCCATTTGGTTTCCTTCTGTTATTAGTTTAATTGCATGTGATAAGACATTTATGATATGAAAAATGAAAAAACATTAATAATAAACAAATGTATCACTACATACATATATTAAGCAAACGTGGTGTGTATATAAAGGGACAGAAGGATCATAACACTACACATCTTTCCATGGCTGAATTAGTCCTCTACGTTTCTGGTCTTTTCTTCTTCATCTTCGTAAGTATCGTACTGAGAAAAATAGGAAACACAAAAGCTGAGGAAACATCTCGTAAGATGCCGGATGGACCTCGAAAGCTACCTATCATAGGTAATATACATAATCTTTTATGCTCTCAGCCCCATAGAAAATTAAGAGACCTGGCCTTAAAACATGGACCCTTGATGCATCTTCAACTTGGAGAGGTTTCTACCATTGTCATTTCATCCCCTGAGTGTGCTAAGGAAGTGATGAAAACCCATGATATTAACTTTGCCACAAGGCCTAAAGTCCTAGCTATTGATGTAATCAGTTACAACTGCACAAGCATAGCCTTTGCTCCTTATGGAAATTATTGGAGGCAGTTAAGAAAAATTTGCACATTGGAGCTTTTAAGCCTAAAACGTGTCAATTCATACCAGCCAATCAGAGAAGAGGATGTCTTCAATCTTGTCAAATGGATAGATGCGCATAAAGGATCCCCCATCAACCTCACTGAAGCTGTTCTTTCATCAATTTATACAATTGCTTCAAGGTCTGCCTTTGGAAAGAAATGCAAAGACCATGAGAAATTTATATCAGTGATTAAAGAAACCACAAAACTTTCTGCAGGTTTCAACATAGGTGATTTCTTTCCTTCTGCTGTTTGGCTGCAACTTGTCACTGGTTTGAAACATAAGCTTGAGAGGTTGCATCAACAACTTGATCAGATACTGGAAAACATTATCAGTGAGCATAAGGAGACAAAGTCTAAGGCCAAAGATAACGAGATTGAAGCAGAAGATCTTGTGGATGTTCTCATACAATATGAGGATGGTAGCAAGCAGGATTTTTCCTTAACTAGAAACAATATCAAGGCCATTATTCTGGTATGGATTTTCTTTTACGAACACAATCTTGCTCATACAGGTTACTACAGTACAATTGCTAAGATAAATGTGTGTGCCTTTATGTCTTATCTTTGTAGGAGTGGAACATTTGCCATATAATTTTTGCATCATATAGATTGTCCTTTAACTGTTTGGGCATGTTTGCACTGTCCTAAAATCATTGGACAGAGAAATACTCTAAGGTCCTCAGGGGCCTCTTGAGTTGAACATGACTCTTGTCCATCTTTAACATTTGCATCAACCTCCTCGTAGGGGCATATGGTATAATGTGTTTCTTGAGTAATAATAGGTGGTTTCAGTGTAATCTGTTTGAAATAATTAAAGGATTTTTGGATAGGGATAAAAGTGACAAGTATGGAGGATAATTTGATGAAACCTTAAGGGAATGATTGTAGTTTACTCCATTTATAAATTAATTTTTCAGGATATTTTTGCTGCTGGAGGTGAGACATCAGCAACAGTCATAGATTGGGCAATGGCTGAAATGGTAAAGGATCCGAGAATAATGATGAAAGCACAATCTGAACTGAGAGAGGCGTTCGGAGAGAAGGGAATGGTTGATGAAAATTCCCTCAATGAAGTCAAATATTTGAAACTAGTTATCAAAGAGACCTTGAGATTACACCCTCCAACTCCTCTTTTGCTTCCAAGAGAATGTGGTCAAACATGTGAGATACATGGTTATCACATACCTGCCAAAAGCAAGGTCATAATCAATGCTTGGACAATTGGAAGAGATCCAAATTATTGGACTGAGCCAGAGAGATTTTATCCTGAAAGATTCATAGATAGCAGTATTGACTATAAAGGAAGTAATTTTGAGTTCATTCCTTTTGGAGCTGGAAGAAGGATCTGCCCAGGCAGCACATTTGCTCTGAGAACTATTGAACTTGCCCTTGCAATGTTGTTGTATCACTTTGATTGGAAACTTCCCAGTGGAATCACAAGTGAAGAATTGAACATGAGTGAGGTGTTTGGACTCACAATGAGAAGAAAAGATGAAATGTACCTGGTCCCTTTTCCTTATCATCCTTTGCCTGTCACATGAACTTCTCTTCAGAAACTGAAACCTTTGCTATCTCTATAATGCATACTGCACATAAAAATCTACTGTCAATTGCAATTGAAATAAGGCTTTGTTTTACTATGCTTCGCTGGCACAAAAAATGAAAATTCTGTAACTATTGCATAGTATAAAGCTGTTTTATTTTTCTTACCTTTTAGTAAGGTGTGGCTCAGAAACACTGTAATGCTATTTACTCTTATGTTTATAACTTTCAGGTATTTTTGGTTTTATTTATATATTACTTTTAAATTAGTCTCCTCAGTTAAACTAAGGTTGTGCTAAAAATTCATAAATTTATTATTTTAAGGTTGTGCAAAAACAAACTTGGAAGCTCCTTAATTTATTTACTTCGGAAGAGTTTCTGCTTCTGAAGTCTAGTAATTAACGAAGTTTTCTAGTTACAAAACTCTTTTACAAATACACTTTTCTTTTCTTATGGCACCATTAGAAAACGTACAATTAATTGGCTAACAAAAATGGACATGGCTGCAAAGTTTATTTCTTATTAGCTACATTAGAATAATTTTAGTAAAGAGATCCTTGTCTTTTTCATTCTTATTTTAATTCTTTTGTTTAAGTATAGATGTATTAACTCATTGAAGAAGTACTAATTCTTAATCTTAACCAACGAAGAAAAGGTTTCGGAAACTTTGAAGTAGTTAATGTGTTGTTGATGTTCTGCTAAGCAGTAACACGGTGTATCCGCATTCCAACTCTTTTCGTCTCTAAAAACCAAAAGAAATGAAGGTTGTGCTAAATATACTAAATTAAAAGTATCTTTTCCCTTACTAATATGATATGTTTTTAGTTTCCTTTTTTGACCGATAAGTGTGGAGTTTTAGGCGAGAGGATTTAAAGAGTCAATGAAAAGAATTTTTAAAGAAAAGTTAAAAGCAAAAGATTATGAAAGTGTTAGAATATAAATGTAAATTTAAATATCATATTAAGTAAAAATAAGAAAATTGAATAATCATAAATAAAAATTCATAAATTTATTGACTTCAAATTTTAGATTGAAAATAATGTTAGAATTTTAGATTGAAAATTATGTTAGATTTCTTCCATAGATTTAACTGGTATCCAATTAATATCTTTGAGAAAAACTTGTTGAGATTGTTGATAGGGAAAGATTTGGTTTAGCTGAACCTACAATCTCAGAGCTTCTGGTTTTTTATGATGACAACACATAATTAATAACACACGTGTTTATGTGTTACATGTTCATTACTTTCATGATTATGATTATATGAGAACATGTTTGTGTTGTATTGATCATTGCAATTCACTATGTTATATATGTGAGATTTAATCTGCGATTGCATGAAAATTGTTTTGGAAAAGAAAAACCACATGCACTTTAGTTGAACTTAAATTGTGTAGCAAAACAACAGTTTTAAGTCGACTTCATTATGAAGTAAGTCGATTAAAACTGGTGGCTTTGCACAAACTTTTTCAAAGTTTGCTGTGAGAATTTTTGAAGAGAAAGTTTTTCAAAACTATGTTTTTAACTATTACAAAGTCGACTATGTGCGCAAGCCATTCGACTAAGTTTGTTATGTTTTGAAATTCTGTTAATGCTTGTCTTAAAGTATCTACGGCAATGTTTAAATATATTTGAACAAACATTAATTGCGTAATCAATTAATTGGTATGGTTACTACTAACTGTTATAACTGTCATGAATGTATTGGACTTCATTAGTGGCAAAGTCGACTGAAGAGCGTCAGAATTGTGAAAAACTATATATTGACGCAAATTTGAAGAGCGTCAACAATTACACAGTACTCAGATCCAAATCCAATACGAATCACCCAACTGAGCGAAGGCAAATCCGGTCTTCAAAATTACAGACTAAGCGAATGCAATGCACAAGTCCAATCAGTCATGCACCATACGGTCTAATCAACTAAGCGAAGATTAAACACCGATTAAGCAACTAAGCGTATACCTAATCGCAAGCACAAAACATATTGAATATTGAGCCAACTCAGAGCAGCAGTATAATAATTAAAGTGCAGAGGTCTCATGAATAAACTACTTTAACCTCTAATATAGCATGAATGAATCAACTAAACGAAGACCAATTATGCTATCATAATCGCGAACTAAGCGAACTCAATACACCTATTCCATCCAATGTGTTATATACAGATTCATCAACTAAGCGAAGATGTAATCACCAATTGGGCAACTAAGCGTATACCCATTGCAAGAACACAATCAGATTTCATAGAATGCCAGGCAGAGCAGAATAAACACAAGGAAAGTCCAAGAAATCTCAAGGAAACAATGTAATTTCGCTAATAACCAACCCAACTAACTTAGGCTAACATTACAACTAAATTATCACAACCGAACAGAATAGACAACATTAAAGTGAATATTAAAATTTAAATAATGACAAAAGAAAAATAAGTCACTAAAGAAAAGAACCTAGGAGCATTTAATTAAGCATGCATTCTATGTATAAGGAAAATGTGGAATGGAAACATAAGCTTGGTGAATAAAAAAAAAAAAAAACTAGCAGACGGTTATAAATCATAAGTGCAAATTGCTTCAGCCAGGAAAGCACCGTGCAGCATGAAACGAGACTTCAATTCCCATCACTTGAAGCAATTAAAGTGCAATAGATTTTAACTAATCTAACGCTAATTGAAAAGACAAATCTGCAACCGTGTTGCACTTTTTTTCCAAAACTTAAATCAGCGTTTGTGCCTCCTAAAAGCAAAACTGAATCTGCCCTCCGAGAGCTCCCCTGCTCCACTTTCCCGTGCACACCCTTCAGCACGTCACCGTGTGCTTCATAAGAAAGAAAACAAATGTGCTTCTCGCTGTTTGTGCTTTCTCTAGGCCGTGACACCACTTCCGTTTTCCTTTCAATGCGCTACCTTTCTTTTAAGCCAAAAAAAAAATCCCCCTAGGTGGCGGCTACTGCTTTATTCTCCGTGAACGAGCTGCTCCCCTTCCTTTTCTCTACCTATGCTGATGCTACATTGTGCTTTGTCCGTGTGATCTCAAAAATGAAGAAATGAATGACCTCCTCCCCTAGGTGGCGGCTGGACCTTAAATCAAAGATGATTCCCTCATGGGTGTTGCTCCCTCCACCACCACACATTTCTCCCTCCACCTCCCCTTTACTATTTTGCCCCTCAATAAAATTTTATTTTTAGGGTTATTATTTTTTAATTTTACCCATTCACAACCTATTTCACTAACAACCTATTCTAGTCTCGTACATGAGTAAAATATTTTTCTTTCATTTTAACATTATACTTCTTTCTCTCTTTCTTTCGTCGTTGTGAGATACTACAAGTTGCAAAGGTTGGTGGTGGTGGAAAGTATCAAGCAGTCTCCCTCTCGTGGTGCATTCGCTCTCGTGGTGCAGTGCTTGTCGTGCTTCCTCCAGGTGCGTATTCGAATAAACCTTGAAAACAAAGCCTAAAATAAAAAACGTAACCTTTAAACGGAGGTCACATCCTTCAACGGATGTCAACATTCGTTTAAGGTAAAACGGATGTCGACATCCATTTTTCCTTAAACAGATGTTGACATCCGTTGAAGGATGTCACCTCCGTTTAAAGGTTACGTTTTTTATTTTAGGGTTTGTTTTATTAGGGGACATTCGTTGAAGGATGTCACCTCCGTTGATGTATACCTCCTCACATTGGTCGACGCTCTGGACGCTCCTCCACACCACGACGACGACACTCCTTCACACTACGGCGACAATGAAAGCTTTCAAACAAAAAAAAAACTCGGAAGAAAAAGGAATGTAAGCGTGGGAGGTGGGGAGGTGAAACGGAAATGGGGAAAGGGGAAGAGAGTTCCGTGGGTGGGTGCTGGGAAAGTAAAATTAGGGTTTCAAATTATTTAAAATAGGGTAAAAGTAAAAATCTTTTTAACTTAATGATATAATTGTATTTAAAATAATGTGGGGAGGTGGAGGAAGTATAGGGTGGTGGTGGAGGGAGCAACATCCTTCCCTCATTCACGTGTTGCTGGACGCTCCTTGTTAATTGCCCATGGGCCCAAATGCTTTCTTTTTCTTTTAAGTGACAGTAGCATCGAGGGTTACTCCCTACACCACCACACATTTCTTCCTGCACTACCACAATTTTTTTAAATTCCAAAGTTATCCTTTGTATTTTAAAATATCCTACACCTCCTCCTTTTCTCTTGAACGGATGTCGACATCCGTTGAAGAAAAACTTCTTCAACGGATGTCCCACATCCGTTTAACTTTTTTTTTTAAGTTTTTAGATTTTTTAAGTTTTTAAATTAATATATAAATATTATTTAATTTTTTTTAAAATTATTACTTAATTATTTATAAATTAATTTTATTTTATTTAATAAAATAATTACTATTAATTTAATTTATGTATTATTATTTTAAATAATAATTAAAATACTTTTTAAAAATTTATTAAAACGTGACACGGATGTGGTAACAATTTAAACATTAAGCTTTATGGATAGAATCTCATATCTTGTGTCCAAAGAAAATGACTTGTTTCAATCTTGTAAATGAAGTTTGTTGCCTTATGTAGCATCTTTCTTAGGCCGTGTGTGAAAATTTAACGCGTTAATGCACTGCTTAATTTAGATTATTTTAATTTATATAGTTTTTTTCTGAAAGAAAAATAACGTGTCAAACTCAAATTCATGTAGAGATTTTTTTTAACCACTGTTTAGAGTTTGACTTCAATTTTTGGATAGAATCTCGTGGTATCGTTGAAGCCTCGTATTTTAAAATATTTCTGAGACTAATTTTGATTCAGATCTATACATACATTATGTTATATTAAAACGGATGTGGCAATCCGTTAGCGAATGTCGTCACATCCATTGAAGATTTTATTTTTAAATAAAAACAATAAATTAAAATATAAAATATGTGAATGGATGAATGTCAACATCCGTTGAAGATGAAACGGATATTGACATTCATTTTAGAGAAGGACAAAATTGGTATGAGGTGG